TATATTCGATTTTTAATTTTTTCGAGTTTTATTCTTTTAAGTGGCTGTGACATGTAAAAGATCATTTTAATATTATCTTTGACTTGTCTTTCATTGATTAAAATGCGATCTAAGGCGCCTCCTGTTCATTCTGACAGCAGCTGGTCTGATCCAAGATGGCCGCCCTCTAGGCACGTCGGCCAGCGTCCAACGAGGTTTCTACGGCTGTCTATGGACTCCACATCCGCTCCAAACCGCTCATCCTGACGGGTCAGTGCGCATGCGCAGAGCAGGGTGTCCGGTGTCAAACCGAGCAGCTGTTGAGTTCGTTCAGGGCAGAACCGAGCTAGCACGTGCTACACGCCCACATTACCTGAGCGGAACCTTCCAAAAACCCACAGAGAACCGGATTTCTCCCGATACCCGGAGTCCGGATCGGAACCAGTGGGAAAGCTAACGGAGCTAACGGTGCCGAACCGGCAGCTGACCCAAAGGCCGCGGTCCGGACCAGAGGATCCGAGGAGCATCTCAGGTGCTGTTGAATCACCGGAAAGGTTCCACCTGTGAACCCGTTTGGCCTGAAGAGAGGAACCGGACATGCTGATAGGTGAGCAAGGCCTGGTTCTGGTTCTGGGGCCGGTACCGCTGCGTGTGTGTGTATCAGGTGTCGGTGGGTCCAGTTAGCCTTAGCAATGGTTCATTTGGTTCTATCCAGATCCAGAATGACTAGAACCTCACTGTCCTTGGTTCCATTTAACCAGCTCTAATTCCACTCTGCTGGACCAGGTTCTGCTGGACCAGGTTCTGCTGGACCGGGTTCTGCTGGACCAGGTTCTGCTGGACCGGGTTCTGCTGGACCACCTAAGGTTTGGTCCAAAGCTCCAGATGAAGGTTTCTTCTGCAGCTGTTCCAGAACCTGCTCTGAGGAACCACCTGTTTGGATCATGATCTGTTAGTTTCTGGCGTTTAAGTTCTTCCATCCAAAGATGGTTCTGGACAGACGGGTCCGTTTAAACCCGAACCCTGTGGTTGGCCTGACTCTCTGCGCCCTTCATGTTTCCAAACACAAGTTGTCCAGAAGATTCATCCAAGAAATCCACGGAGACGTTTAAAAACGTTTTAGTGAGTAGATAGAATGAAGGGACGCTAAACATAGATGCAAAAGCTCAGGGCGACAGTGGTCAAAAAAACCATTCGCTCACAGCCACCAAACTCCCATGATGCATCATCTTTAAAGAGTGACACATATGCATCCTGAAACCAAAGAAGTAATGAAAATAACAAAATAACCACAACAGCTAAATATACAAATTTGCCTAAACTAATAAGAATTACCAATAATAATACATGAGGAAATACGATTAAAGCACATGGAGATTTCAAAACGTACTTTAAAGGAAAAGTCCGCTCAGCGAGGAATAATCCATGGATCATTATTTATACCTAAAGCTAATACAATGGGCTCTATGCACAGCTCCACTACTTCCTGAATTTAATGCAGCTCCTTTGTTTCCTGTCTTTCATTACTGGACGAACTGTTTATTCCAGGTGTGTC